AAAATACATTTTTTTTTTTAAAATGGGGGGGGGGGGAAGGGAAGTGCAAACAACCCACAAATATGCCGGCATGTTCAGGGCGTCCACTTTTCTCGGGGCACATTACAGAGTACTGGGATAGAGCGGGGGGGAGCAAGACCTCAAGCTTGATGTTTCCCTTTCATACGGCACCCAAACTGCCCCAACCAGGGAGTAAATACCCCATAACACCTGTGCTGGGACCGTTTTCAAAGCTGTGGGGGGAGAGAGAGAGAGATATATTTCTGAACTAAAAATCTTCACCTACATTTGGGTCTTAATTTAGCTGCACTGTATCCAGTGCTTTCTAATAATAAAGGTCCCTCTCTCCACAGCAGAGTCACTGCGCGCTGAGTCCTTCACCAAAAGCGCCTCACTGCGCCTCCGGCTCACGGCCGACGAGGGCAAAGCCCGGCCTTAAAGGAGGTGACCGCTTCCTCGGTTACGTAAGGCGTCCCGATCTGGAGTCCGGGGGGACTTACCACTCACTGGACTGCAGAGTGGGGGAGTCATTCTGGGCGATATGGTATAAGGCACTCATTGCATTCATGTTGAAGAGGGGGGGCTTGCGTTCCGCTGGGGGAAAGAAGAGATTTGTACTTAAGTCAGACAGATCAGCCGAACCCTGAGGTCCTGCTACCTCACAGGCCTTCCTGCCCCCCCCCACCCCCCGACTCTTCCCTTCATAATCCAGTCAGACCACCCGGAACAACCCCGACCCACAAGCTACACTTTTTAAATTGAGCAGAAAGGAGAAATCATATTTTGGCTACAAGGTGAATCGCTCTGAAAGCCCATCTTCTCAGAAGCAACAGGTCCACCGCTCTGATGCAGAGACCAGCCGGCTCGACAGAGGCCCTCCACAAGGCATTCCCATCTGCCAGCACGCTTTTTATTTTTAAAGGATACCATATTTTAGGAAACAGTTAGATCATCTGTGCTCCGAAACCTTCGGAGAATTTGCTCTGTAAATTATACCATAATGGATAAAGCCAGGAAGGAAGCACTTATGAATTTTAAGGAGAGCCAGAGGAATCCTGATCCCGATGGAAATAATTGTCCAGGCGACACTCACAGGCCGCACTTCCCCACCCCACCGGGCCTCTCCTAATGGGTCTGTGAAGGAACCTCACCCAGCTCGATGCAGGTGATTCCCAAGGACCAGACATCCACCTTGCCGTCGTACTGGCCCTCATCCATGGCGAGGATCACCTCCGGGGCCATCCTGCCACAGGAAAGAGACCCGTTCACCAAAATTTCACCTTCTACACACCAAAGGCTCACTCCCACCAGGCCCCAGGTTTTGACTTACCAGTACGGAGTGCCCACAAAGGAGTTGGCAGGAGACGCTATGGACGCAGACCCAAAGTCTGCCAATTTCACCTGACCTGACTCAGTCAGGAGGATGTTTCCAGCCTTCACATCTCTGAAGGAAAGTACGTAAACCATGGCTTCAACTTTTCGAAAGGCCAGACAAAGTTCCATAGTACAATGATACCAAGAGCATTTCTACTGCCAGGTCTAGAAATTGTCCATTAAACAAGGAAGTTCTCTATAAATATGGGAAATGTTTCAAAGGGCAACATCTTCTTTTCAGCAGAAACTACAAATCTTCCATGAGGCAAGAACCACTCACCTGTGAATCATTGTATGGGAGTGTAAGTAAGCCAGTCCCTGCAAGGCACCATGGGTAATGGCAGCAATTTCTACCTCTTGAAGCGGTTTCTTGTGAACTATGTGTTCAAAGAGAAATCAAAATGACCAAGGTTTTATGTACACTGCAATGTAAATCACGTCACAGTCACTGGGCAGTGAGAATTAGATCAGGTCAATGTGTTGCCTCCAGATTTGGCAAACAGGATCTTCCTACTGAGTGTCTCGACAAATGTTTCAATGATTCATCTAATTCCAGGGAAAATGTGAGCAAAGGACTGAATCTTCCACCTTCAGAAGTCAAACTAAGAGACGCTACGTAAACGCATCTCTCCACATACATTCTACCCAGTTCTCAACATCCATCAGGTTGCTTAAAAAAATAAACACTCACCCTCTAACAGGTCAGAAGCTGAGCCCAGGCAGTATTCCATGACCAGCTGAGCGGAACAAAGAACAATGCCATGAGCAGGAGAGCCAGAACATTCTCATTTTAACGGCGCGGGAATTAAGGTGACATTTCGTTCACCTGAAGCAAACGCGGGCAGCTAAGCCAGCTCAAGGTCATGTGGTTCTCATGAATGTCTTTGTTAAAAATAGACCCACGGTAGCCAAAGGGAGACGTTTACATAGCTAAGGATGTTTAATGCTCATGGTGAAAGGACGCATGTCTGGGAGGAGAAAAATCACAATTAATAATAGAGCAAAGGTAATCCAGTGGGTCTTACAGGAAATGGGAAACCTCAGGCCGGATGGAAATCGCTCCCTGCAAAGGCATTTGTGTAACAAGAATAATGCAAATATGGTAGGAGAATGTGGCTCGGACATGGCCGCGTCGGACTCACCCAAGCAGTGCTGTCCTTCAGGTAGCAGCCCTTGTATTCGATGGTGTTGGGGTGACGGAGCTGTTCCAGGAACTTGACCTCCTTGATGATGTCCTGCCATTTCTGTGAAGTGGAGAAAGCGTTGCATCAGAGTCACCCGGACGTCCACTCGGGTGGTGGACTGCTGTGTTTTCACTTGGGTTATAATGTTTGGGGAGGGGTTGGTCAGGGAGGCTCTGCAAATGCAGTAACGACTCCCCTCCAGCAGAATAAGCAACATATATACTGTAGCTTGTTGCTGACATCTACACAACACGGCTACTTTATCCTTCTCATACTTTCATTATCCTCATAACATTACGGGCACATTAACTGTGTCAACTCATTGTAAGGGGGAAGTTTCATGCTGTTATTTTCTGGACATGTTTGCACAGGGACACTCAAAATTGAGTTACATTTCTGAATAATAGTGATTCATCATTGCCTTGCTATCAGTAGTGCATCACCCTATGTTTAAAACCTTAGCATTCACAGAAATAGCGTTCAGTGCCATAGCGTTCAGTTCAGTGATGGAGCTGCTAAATTTTAAAACCAGTGAGGCCGACCCCAGCTTTGGATTGGTCAAACTTCAGCCTTGTGCTGTTGCTCACCTCTGTCGTTTGCTTCCCATTGTAGGACATTTTCTTGATGGCCACCACCTCATTCGTGTAGCAGTTTTGGGCCTGAAACAGATACATCGTTAACGGCCAGAGGACACTCTCAGAGTGACAGCGAGGTGATGGCGGTGCTGGACAGGCCACTTACGAAGTACACCGCCCCAAAACTGCCATGGCCGATCTCTTGAAGGTCACAGAAGACCTCCTCGGGGTCATCCTTGAAGAAGAGGTTGGCCACCTCGGGGTCCTTCAGACCTTTCCGTGTGGACGACGGCATCATGGACTAAACAGTACCGTGGACTTCCACTCGCTGATCTCCGTCATCGACAAGCCCGGCATTGACCATCAGTGTCTACATGGGACAGCAGAGAAACCTCAATATGGACGATTGATTGAAAAATGTATGTGATTAAAATCAGAACCAGATAGGAGGTCCTGGGACATTGGACTGATGACGGTTCAAACATTCTATAAAAAATGGCATCCCACAAAAATAGTATTGATCAGGAGAAAAAATGTTCATGCGTAGAAGGATAGTGCATTGGTGGCAGCTTAATTTCATCAGACCTGCATCATCAATACAGTTTCAAGCACTTGGCATTCTGGGAAAATGCAAGGTGCATATAGACATACAAATAAATGTGGAAGATGTACATGTCACGGTGAGTGCGGGGGCGGGGGAGGTTCTGCGAGATTGGTGTGCCCTGATTTTCGGGGGAGAGGGGGATGTGGAAGAACCACCTCAGTGACCTGGAGTTAAGTGAGGACATCTTAAAAATGACCGGTTCTTGGCAAGGATTCAGATAGGCAGCGTTACAGTACCTTAAATCAACAAACAAAAAGGCTACACAACACAACAGCAGCTTCAAAAATACATGCGTGACCAAACACCTAAAGCGAGCGGAACACACACGTGACACGACGTAAAGATTACGAACCAGAGCGGCGAAAGGACGCGGCCGAAAATAAACAAGGCTCCTTTGTCAGCTGATTAGTCAGAGGCGGCACCCGGTGCGCAGAAGCGCGGCTAGCGAGCCCATAAATACGCATTAGCAGGCAGCAGAGCGGCCCTTCCCGACCTACGGACACGGCGCCGCCTAGCATGACTCTGTCTCTCTGTTGCATCATTTCATCTGCGAAGAGCTTCAGACGAAACCCAACGTAAGGCTTGAAACAGAGTCGGGAAGATATTTTTTAGAGCCACCCCCCCCTCAAGAAAAATCTTGGATGAAAGGTAGGGAATTTAAGAAAGAAAAATAGATGCATATATTTTAGGTGTATGTTGTTGGGAGTGGAAAAAATAGAAAAGGAGAAAAGGTCATCATTAAAAGACTGGAGTCACGTGACTACTCTGGGGAATCCACATCGCCCACCCTCCTTCCCGCAAACCTTTTAAATCCATGAAATGATGCAAGGAAGTAACAACAGGTTGTAAGAGCGCTCGGCACGGCGGTGCGATGGCCCCGCCTCCGGCGCTCACTGGCAGCCCTCCTGGAATGATGTGGCATCGGGGCGCCCGCGGGGGGCGAGGTGACGGAAGGGTCTGAGACAAGCTGAGCGAGAACGTTCATCAGAACGGCCAGAACATGACTGCCAGGTCCCGGGGGAAATCTGACACCCACGGTACTAATTCATTTAGAGACTCATCTTTACAGGAACTGCTACCAGGGCCGCCAGACCATGCTCGGGTTAAAGGTCCTGAGTTCTGCAGCAATGAGTGAACGTACTTTTGTAAAATATTGACCTTCCGAGGCCGAGCCACATGGATACAGATAAGAAAGAAAGACAAGTCTCATTAGCCCTGCTAGATCAGGTGGAGGTAGAAAACATGACATCATCTTTTGTCACACTGAGGAGGAAGGATTGCTAGTGTTGGTGGTACAGTGGCTCAGTGGGTCATGCCGTCATGACATGGCCACGATGTTCTGGTTTGAAGCAGGGCCTCCGAGTTTGTGTCTCTGTTTAGACACATGTTTTAGTGGCTTTTAGCTTTTGAAAAGGCTGCTACAGGATATGTGCCAGGTGTGCAGGGTTAACCTATGTGTGCCTTCCATGATTGGACAGTAAGCTTCAAACACTCTGAAATGAGTATGATGTGCAATTTTGCCAACATACCTGTAGGTGCCACTGTAGAGCACTAAACAGACGAGGAAACATCATTCTCACCCAGTATGGAGGCCAAATTTGCTACACTTTATCTGTGATCAAACCACATACCTTGCTTCTTTGACACAACTGCTTCATACAAAGTTCAGGAAGGACACACAGGTGTGGGGGATACATACACAACAATCTGCTAATTTTGGCTTACAACAGTAATTTACGATCCTCATTGGCAAGGCTGCTGTCTTGATAATAATATAATAATCCCTGAAGTTTGGAGACCAGCCGTGGTTTAACGTTTTAAATACCTTAAAAAGAAATGATGTCATCTGCTCATTCCTCATCATCTGAGCCGTACTGAGTAACAATGCATGGAATGGAACAGAGACTAATCAAAAAATACCATCAATCCTTTACAGAGGACATCAAAATTATCACGCTTTATAACATTATTCATCACTACATCAATTTCTTATTTATTACTAAGGCCTTGACTGAAACCCAATAAAAATATACTACTAATAAACTGTCAGCAAAGCTGTCAAACATTACCATTACCCAAAACTTAAAAAGCAGGAGGCTTGTGGAAAGGTCTTGTTAAACTGGTTATGTAACCGTATATCCAGTAGCTATATGTCTGCTTACAAATTGTGTCATTTTGTAAATACTTGGACAATAAAATCAACAAAAATCGGAATTCTGGAAATTTAGAAATAGTGGCTTTTTTTGCGTTTTTTTTGTGTCCCCCGTTTTGCCAGTGCAAAAAGGGGGACGCCTTGAAAACATCAAGAAGAAAATCTCCCCATGCCGCCGCCTCGCTTGCGGTGACTCAACGTCCCTCAGTGTTCCTGCCTCCTCTCTGCCCGCCCCGGTGAGGTCGCTTATCGGGTCGTCACTGCGCGCCTACTTACCCACGAGGCAGTTATGGGGTTGTGACGCCGATTCGGGTGCTGATGTGCCTCCAGAATAGGTGGTGAGTTTGCTCTCCCTTGGTCTAGCACACCCCTAAAGCCCCACACACATCTTCATGTCCGGGAACGATGGGGAATCTGGGGAGGGAGGGGCACAGGATAGGAGGGGGGTCAGGTGCGCGGGAGTGTGTGAGCACGCGAGGTACGGTCTGGTCAGAGGAGGAAAAAGAAACAGCAAGGAGGACAAAGAAAAACAGGGAAGGAGACGACATTCTGAGCCCACTCGCTCCCATAAAAAAATAAAAAAATAAAAGCAGCAGCCCACTTGTGGATGAATAATTCTGACTCCGTTGCTCAAATGCTGTTTCGGGGGGGAGGGGATATCCTCAAAGGCAGTACAAATCAGCAAGGATCACGTCACAGGATGGCTAATACCGGACAGATGCTAGTGCTTCAACAGAACGAAGGTCCAATTTCGAAGCTGACAGCTTCCTGGATCTCTGTTAGCGGCCACCTGTTCTGTGATGAACTGAAATGGATTCTAATCCCTCAGAACGTGGAAAATGGCCACCTGTACCTCTGCCTATGGCTGGCCTGGGCATTTTTCAGGGTCCCCCTCATCTCAGATCGGATTCCCAGATGACTCAAGATAAAACCAGCAAAGATAAAGGGCAACTAGAACCTCAGCGACATACAATAGCTTCAGTCCAAATCTCACACGAGAACCTTAAAAACACTGGTTTCATAGATATTAATCATACGAGAAATGAGAATCAGGGCTAAAAAGCCAGAACCCCAGAGTTTCCTGGCTTAGGAAACTCATCCTAGAACAGGAGTATCACAGGTAACATCGTGTGAATGACCGCAAAGCAAGATGGACGGATACCCATCACCCTTAGCTACAACCCTGACCTATGCATGCTTTGCAATCCTAACATCGGATTTCTAAACTCAATAAGCTGTCTAGTTTCACCGAGAGTTACGCAACGTTGTTTATGTTGTTTAATGTAAACAACACTAACAAACGGCTGACGTTAACCTGCTGACTACATCTTATCCAGTAGGACGCAGCCTCCTCCCTAAGACTCCAGGCCCACAGGCCAACCCCAAAGCTGAAAAATACCGACGAAAGCCACCGAATGAAGTCTCCATTCAGCAAAGACTCAGAGGAATGCAGACCTGCGGGTTCTTGGTGAGGCACTCACTCGAAGAATTAGCCAGCGCCGCCGCTCTGGAAAATTGATGGTTCTGCTTCCTTGACGGATCCTCATGCTCGACGTACACGTGTCTCCCAGGCGCATTCATAAAATCGTTTCTCTGCTCCCAGTACGCACTTGGACCTCATTCGGTCATAAAACGCAAATAAAACACACCGCTGGTATTTCCGACAAATGACACACGCGTCATGCAGCTGACCTTCGCCCCTCGGGCTGATTCACCCTCATTTGTAGATTCATCAGCTGCTTCCTGGGAAATCTCAGCCACTTCTACATTTGTGTCCGCAGCCCTGTTTCCTTTCTGAAAGAACTCTCTACCTTCTGCACCGAGCGGAGTCTGGACAGGGTGTGAGGGCATCTGCCCTATGAGGGGCAGCTACTTCGAACACAGACAGGAGAGGATAAGCACATCTGGGGAGAAAACACAAGTTACAGAGACACATGGCTGTGCAACAGGGCGGTGCCAGATGTGGCTAGATGAGACTGTCACCGGAATCATGTCGAATGGATGACGGAACAACATGACGAGCCAGAGTGACGACTCTTCTCGGAGACTCGACCCCTCGGGCGCGAAAGGAGTGGGAAGTCAGGCTAAACGGCAGTGGGCGGAACCTCAGCTGATGGCCTCACCCGAGAGCACGGATGCCAGAGAGCTTGTGTCACCTGCACCCGGTACGTGCTCATTATGAAGCGAAACTGACAAAAACGGAAGTATAAAATAAAGCCACTACACACCCCGGTTTACGGAAAACACACAAGTGCACTTGCCTGTACACCGCATGTGAAACTCGCATTACCATCACCCGGCCATATCAGGCTGACCTTTCAGTACCGCCCCAAGCACACTGCCATCCACAGGTCCTCGACTGATTGATCTGATTGGTAGTGCACAGTCAAGCATCTTCCATATGCAAATACTTCACAATGTGTTTAACCATTAACCCAGAGGAAGAGAGAATTAAAAAAGAAACATTAAAAGAACAAAAAAAAAAAAAAAAAAGTAGACAACAGTGGGTTTCCACCACAGGCCTGAAACTAACCCAGATTTCCAGCTGGGTGTACAAACAGATCAGTGATAAGTCAGCGCATCTCCAAAAAAGTGCTGCTTCATGGTTTGTACGGAACCCTCCTCTCGTTACGATGGGGGTGAGTTGCACAGGACCAGCTTTTGCTGAAGGAGCGTAAACAGAAGGAGGGGGGAGGTTCCCCTCAGTAATTTTTGCTGATCGGGAGGTGGTGATGGTGGGGATCAAACTAGTAATTTTACTAACTGCACACTTAATTGGTTGCTAATAAATTTGGGGAGGGGGGGGGATTTCCAGACCTATTGTTTCAGTCCTTTGATATATCCGCTAGAGCTGGGTGGTATGACCAAAAATTTATCACGGTATTTTCCAAAGTTATATCGGTTTCACGGTATACAACAGTATATTGATTATCTATTTATTTATTTATTTTTAAGTATGACTGGACGTTTACCACATTTTACAGGATCCATTTTTGTTTTACGTTTTTGCATTGTTCCCACATTAACTATATTATTTTATTATTAGTCATTGCACCTATCCGCTACCTTAATGATAACATACGGCTAACGTGTTTGTTGGCTAACTGCTTATAGATAAACAGCTAATGTTAAGGTGTGCGCCGGCCAAGTTAACATTTTTGATAAGTGTTTAATAGTTCAGTGTTGCTGGAACGTGAGCTTTACTGACCTCGTGAAATTTCTCATAAAGAGAAGATGCTTCGCCAGGTTTGACGTGCTACTTGACTTCGTCGCCACAACTCTGTAGCACGGTTTGCATAGAGGCTTATCGACATCCTTAGCCTTTCCATGCTCGTCTGCAAAATACTTCCAAACGGCACTTTTGCGTTTTTTTTTTTTTTTTACTAAAGCAGCTTGCGAAGTGCCTTCAACTGCAGCATATCCCATGATCGGCCAACTCGGTATGTGTGTGTTAACCTGCGCGAATGCGCTCAGCGGCTATTGAGAGGAGGGGAATGGGCTGCGCGAGTGTGTGCGTGTGCATGCGTGCACGCGCACCTGCACTGTAGTGGTGCTGTGTGAAGTGTGGTGAATGAGGCGAAAATCGCACAGTTGGTATCAATGTGGTGAAATTGAGTATCTAATCATATACTCATTTTTAATATCGATTAGTATCTGAGAATCCTTTTTTTTGACAACCCCAGTGTCTCATTATTTTCAACTCCAGCGTCAGCTATATCTTCCATTTCTGATCTTTCGAGTTTCCAGCTGCACCACTTTCTGAACGTTGTTTAGGCTATTTAAACCGGTATTGCGGTATAAAAAAAAATTCATATCATAACAATAATAAAAAACGGTTTTCGGTATGAACCGGTTTACCGCCCAGCACTAATGTCCGCCAGCGGTCCCCGGGTGGCTTTCGAATGCCATGTCCTGAGCTCACCCCTCACTGTGCCTGCAATATCGTCAATACAGCAAAGTTGCTTTTGTTACTCCTGGCCACTTTCAGGACCTGGATGTTAACCCTGGACAGCACAAACCCAGAACTGAGCGTTCAACAGATGCACGTAAACGCCAAACGCGGCATATAGCCAGGTTTTACTGCCTGACAGACATCCAGGCCACCGCACCAGACAATAAATGAAGATTAGCAGAGGTTGCAGGTGGTCACCGCTGTCATCTTGGCTTACCTTCTTTGCTGGCATTCGGCCTTCAATTAACAAAACGTCAGCTGGGTATTTCACATACAGGAGACACGCAGAGCCGCTCCCCCTTTCCCTAGTGACACCGACCGCCAAAACAGAGTTCCACTGTTTACACAACAACACGCAGAATCACTTCTTAATTGGACACTACTTATAGCAGCTACTGCTAGCAGGTGGCTTGCCAGCTATATCACAGACCGACGGCCTACCCCTCTAGGTGGTCGTGCTGGCAGGAAGTCAGTGAATTTCAGTTCACGTCTAAATAATAAAAACAGCACTCTGACTTTTCCAGCCCTGTCAGCGGTTTTGCAAGTCAGACAAACAAGACAGACAATTTTGGCCGGGCTGAGCTGTAAATAATGTTTGATGCTGGATGCTTGGTTCGGGGGAGGAGCCTCATGAGGAGCAGCGGTGTGAATCTATATGCGGTTCAGCGCCCGAGGACTGACCACCTCGTAGAGACCACCTCGTACAGACATCCATGTAGAGATGCACTGACGCCTATGACTAGACGGTCCAATTAGGCCACGTGGACAAACGTCACTAGAACACTCCAGGACCTCCTGGACACAATATAACACCGCAACTATGGAGGGTGACCAGTACACTCTTCTGATATGAAGACCAGATTGGGGCTTTTTCCGCTAAAAACCCTTGTATCTGGAGCCATAATTATTTATGCATTTTGGATAAGACCACCCAGCTCCTACTGTATGTCACTCAGCCGGCTTACACTGACCCAGCAGGAGTGACCCAAGACAGTGAATCACCCTGAGCTCCCCCCCGCTGATCCATGATGGTGCACGCTGGTGGGGGGGGGATCAGGGGGGGGTGGTATTCCAACTTAACTCTGACACTCCTGCTACTTTAGCGGAGAAATCTAGAAACTCCGACCAATCCGAGCAGCCCGTCCCGCTCGACCAACATCCGCCATAAGTCAAGAGTCGGTTTTAAGTACAGACCGGCCACGAAACACCAGAGGACAGGGGTGGACGCTAAACCTTATCAACCCTGCTACGGCTGCCATTTAACAGGCTAACACACCAGGAAGTTGACACGTTTTCTGTGCAGGGCGTGAAGTAGACAGGTGCACTCAGGCAGACCTGGCAGTGTCCTGAGATCACACCGTTCGAGATCTGCGAGTCAGCTAGCAGCAGTGACTGTCCAACAGCCCCCCCCCAGCATTTTTCCCCTCCACAATGTAATGGTATGGAAATCCATTCCCGTCCA